GCGTGTGTGTGTGTGTGCGTGTGTGTGTGCGTGTGTGTGTGTGCGCGCGCGCCCAAGGCCCTGATGCGATAGAGATGAAGACGACTGCCGCGTGACCTTGCCCTGGTGAGTGGGTTGAGTGGGGCTCTCTCTCTCCTCGCTCGCTCTCCCTCTCTCTCTCTCTCTCTCTCTCTCTCTCTCTCTCTCTCTCTCTCTCTCTCTCTCTCTCTCTCTCTCTCTCTCTCTCTCTCTCTCTCTCTCTCTCTCTCTCTCTCTCTCTCTCTCTCTCTCTCTCTCTCTCTCTCTCTCTCTCTCTCTCTCTCTCTCTCTCTCTCTCTCTCTCTCTCTCTCTCTCTCTCTCTCTCTCTCTCTCTCTCTCTCTCTCTCTCTCTCTCTCTCTCTCTCTCTCTCTCTCTCTCTCTCTCTCTCTCTCTCTCTCTCTCTCTCTCTCTCTCTCTCTCTCTCTCTCTCTCTCTCTCTCTCTCTCTCTCTCTCTCTCTCTCTCTCTCTCTCTCTCTCTCTCTCTCTCTCTCTCTCTCTCTCTCTCTCTCTCTCTCTCTCTCTCTCTCTCTCTCTCTCTCTCTCTCTCTCCTCGCTCGCTCTCCCTCTCTCTCCCTCTCTCTCTGTCTCTCCCTCTCTCCTTCTCCCCTCTCTGGCCCCAAACCAAAAACACCCACAAGAGCAATGATAAATTCAGTATCAACAGAGGTTTAAAACATAATAAAGGGTCTCACTAACAACTGTAAGGGAATACTTTGAAAAAATTAAAAGAAATTATTCGTTAAAAGCTTATATAAAATGACACAATGAAAAACAGAAAACAAAAATAGCCCTTCTTTTTAGTTTTTATTTTTAATTTTACCAGAGGGCATGTGTACTCATAGGAGACACAGAGCAAGAAAGTGAGAATGCACTCCATGAGAGGTGGTCACGCCGCAATCCCTTCTCATTCTCCCTTCCTAGATTTTGGACATGTATGCATACATGCCCAGCACGTTTTTGTTTTGGGGTTTTTTTTTAAGAATTATTTTATTTAATTCTATTTATTTATTTTAATTTGACTAGAGAGGAACAGAGTGAGAGAGAGAGAAAATGAGAAAACAAGCCACCAGGTCCAGGACTCGAACTGTGGTCAGCCATATGGGAGTCCAGCGCCTTAACCACCGAGCCACCTGCCAGCCCCACTCAGCATGTTTTTTTAAGCCACCAGGCCCAGGATTCAAACCCTGTAGTCGGCCCTGTGGGACCCAGCCACAATAACCACCAAATAGCTCTGATTTTAAAAAACAAAAACACTTAACTTTGAAATCATTACAGGGTGACAGGAAGCTGCAAAGGTAGCACAGAGAGGTCCCATCCACCCTCGCCACCCATCGTGACACTGGGAAGCTGACCTTGCTCAAGGCGTCCTGTTCAGTGGCAGTGGGTCACATGGACAGAGTTCAGCAGCCATTGCCCTGCCGAGCCCCTCCTCTTCTGGTGCCCCAGTTCTGGATACACCTGCACCTCCACTTCCCACGCCAACACGGGGCAACCCTAAACTGCCTCCTCTCCCGTGGCCCCAGGCCCAGTGAAAGGGGTGAGTCCAAGCAGGTTTCCACAACGTCTGCCCACGAGGGACCCCCGCCGCCAGAGTTGCCTGACAAGGAACCCCTCCAGCATGACCACACCCTTCCCTTAGCCTGACAGCTGGAAGAACAAATTCCTCCACTACCTGCCCACGGGGCCTGAACTGGGAAGCAAGTTACACGCTGAGATGGAAGAGGGGCCTGGACCCAGGGGACTGGAAGGGGCGTCACAGCAAGACCCAGAGCAGGACAGAGCCCAGGCTGAGCACGAGCCCCCACGTCAGGGCCCAGAGGCTGCCTGTGGCCAGGGCGCCGGCGCGGCAGAGGTCACCCTTGCAGCAGGAGAGCGTGGAGTTGACCACAGCACCCAAGATGTTCATGCTCTTGAGTTGGTAGCTGTCCTTCGGGCAGGTGGGAAGGCAGAACTTTCTCTGCAGTTTCTCGGTCTCAGACCCCGCAGGAGAGAGGGAACTGAGCACGCTCTGCCCCCCTGAGGCCTGCTCTGGACAATCTCAGGGCCCTGAAGTCTGCAGGGTGGCTGGGAACCCGAACCAGGAGGAAACCAGAGAGCCCAGCCATACCCTTTGACTAAGGGGATGTCGAAGTGTGAGAAGGGCAGTCACCAGAACTGGGGCGCAGCAGAAAGGGGCGGCACCGTCAGTGGGAGCCCCTTCCCCAGCAAGGAGCCCTCGGTGGGAGGCGGCAGGTGGAGGGCAGTAGATGTGAGCCCTGGGTCTAGGCCTCCGGCCTCAGCGCTCCGGGACCAGACGCACCCCTCCTGGTTCCCCATGGCCTGGCTGATACCCCACCATGCCGGAGTCTTTCCTTCTGTGTGAAGCCACCTGTCTCTGGGTCTCTATGGTCAGGTGCACCCACTAAGTGCCCACAGGTCCCTCCTTCATGGAGCAGGTAAGACCCCAGGGACAGTGTGAGGATGGAGGCAGGGCCACTGGGCACCTGTGCAGGCTCAGACTGCTGGAGTGGAGACGGGGGCCCTCCCGCGGATGTGGGAAGGGCTGAAATGGCACCCACAGCGAGGAGGCTACGAGGGGGATCCCTCTGCTCCAGAAGCTGCAATGGTCCCCAGCCTTGCAGGATGGCAGTCCTGGCTCAGCCGCGGGGCCCAGCCCCACCCTGCCCTCCCCTCAGGAGCCCTGCCCTGCCCAAGAGGGCCCGCCCATCTCCCTGGACTCACCCATGACAGCGACCACCTCCTGGGAGATGCAGAAGCTGTCAGGGAAGTAGCATGTCCGCAACCTGCAGGAGCTGAAGTCTGAGGTTATCAGGCACTCGTAGCAGTGCAGCCCCTGAGCTGAGGAGAGGCCAGAGCTGAGTGAGAACGGGGGCCCCTCTGTCCAGGCAGTGATCCGGCATGCAAAAGCACACCAAGGCCTGACCGTGCCTCCCACATGGCCGCCTGTACCTGCGTCCCCTCCTGCCTAGCCTGCAGGCCCAGGAAGAAAGAGCGGCCTCCCTGGCCCAGTGGACCCTGAGAGGGGGCGTCACCTGTGCTTTAGGGAGCGGGAGCCTGGGCTGCAGAGGATGGTGAAGGGTGAGGGAACCAGTGAGTTGTCCTGGGGCTCTGGGCGGCCCTCATGCCCCACCTCCCTGGCTGGCCCTCCGACGTGAGAGCCAGCACAGACCTTGGGCAGCTGCCAAGTCAGGCAGTCTCCACGTGGCCCCACGGGCGCCGGCAGCGGTGGGCTTCAAGTGCCACAGAGGCTTGGGCAGGTCAGGCGGCCAGACCGAGCCCATGAGCAAAGGACAGTGGGGGTGGGCACCCAGATGCTGGGCTGGGTGGCCGAGGAGGGCAGGGAGCCTGTGCCCGGCATCTACACACCTGCCAAGAGGTCGTATGCTGCCAGGCCTGACTGTGGGCCCTGCAGGCAGAGGGGAGGCTCGAAGCACAGGAGGCCCTGGGCTGGCCTGTTTGGGAGTCAGGCTGAGGGCAAGGAGGCCCAAGGGTGGGGAAGCAGGAAAGAAATGACCAGGGGCGGGACGGAGGCAGGGGCAGGGAGTGAGGCCATGAGGTCATGGGCACAGGAGCAGGTGTGAGCTCAGGGCCACCAGGGCTGCCCCTTGTGCCCAAACCCAAGTGGCCAGCACGATGGGCCCACACTGCCTGCAGCATCCAGGCTGGCACGTCCCCTGGCCTCTGAGACACACGGCACCAGGGCCCGGCACACGGGTGTCAGCAGACTCGTGCACACCCGTGTGCAGCAACAGGCGCAGAGTGGGCACCGGACAGACACACCGCGAGGTGGGGCCCGCGCAGACACCAGGCTACAGCCAGCCCCACCCCGAGCCCAGGAAGCCCCATCTCCACCTCCGCAGGGCTCTGGGAACCCTCCCTCACGCCCCTCCCCTCTTCTGGTGCACAGCTGGGCCCCCAGCAGGCCCAGCACAGAGGCCAGCATGGCCTGGGCGCTTCTGCCTGGGGAAGGACAGTCCCTGGGGGTTGAGCTGGCCCTCGCCCTCCTGGGGCCGGCACATCCTGGGAGAGAAAGTTCCAGGACTTCCTGCTATCTCCATGCCCCCCTCCCCAGCACAGTTTGCCCTTGGTGGGCTCGTTTCCCCTCAAGACTCCTCTCTCCTTGTCCTGAGACTCTCCCCGGAGGCCTGCCCTGCACCCCAGGGTGCCCACCCTGGGCCTCCCACCCAGCCTTGCCCGTCCGGCTCCTCACCATCCTCTCTGCCAGGCTGCAGAGCAAGTGGCGAAGCAACCATCTGGGGCCGTGTGTGCCAAAGAGTAGTCCTGCCCTCGGCCCTTCCTGATTGGTGCAGAGCAAGGATGGGCCTGGACTTGCACTTCGCAAACACGGTCCCTCCTGGAGAGCGAGAGGCCACTCCAGAGCCGTCTGCCCCAGGGCTGGCCTTGGTCATTCCTTCAGCACAGGTGTGCAGGCAGCAGGACCTGGCGGGGCACTGAGAGCAGGCCAGAGCTGGTGCCAGAGGAGCTGGTCACCTCCCTGAGGGAGCTGGCAAAGAGGGGTCCCCACCCTGTTCCTAGGGGGCAGGCTCTGAGAGGTTCAGACAGAGGCTGAGGAGCACAGAGGAGAATGGAAAGAGACTTGGGTCTGGAGGCCTCTTGCGTCTGTGGGCCCTGAGCACCGGATTGAGGTTTTTAGTGTTTTGTCTTAAGGTTTTTGTCATAGAGTGCGTACACTCACCAGAGAGAGACAGAGAGAGGGAAAGTGAGAGGTCACACCCGAGAGGGCGGGGGTGGGGAGGAGCGACGCCAGGCCACAGTCCCTTCTCTTCCAGTCTCCTCCTGGGATGCTGGGCATGCACATATGTGTCCGGCGTCATGTTCAAGCCACTGGGTCTGGGACTGAAACTGCAGTTAGCCTTAACCACCATGCCATCTGCTGGCCCCTGAGTTTGGCTTTCAAGGACAGTGTCTGGTGCGATTTCAGGAAGAGAAATCCGCTTTTACAGGCAGCTGCTGGATGGAGGGAAAACAGCCCTTCAGAAAAAGCCCTTCACTAGAAAAGAAATGCATTTCACCCAGATACGACCAAAATATCAGAAGAGGGCGGAAGTGAGCAGCAGGAGCAGCCAGGCAGGCCGGAGATTACTCAGCTCGATCACAATGCATGTTTGTGCAGCTATTGAGGAAAGCGCTAGCCTCAGTGCTCAGAGTCCGCAGGACGGCCATTCCGGTGGCTCCTGGGCTCCCTTGGCTCAGACCTGGGGTTCGTCCCAGCTCCTCCGAGGCTCTGTTCATTCTGCCGTGAGAAGCGCCCCTGCACATGCGACACCCGAGGAGAGGCCGGATGGCAAGGAGCGTCCGTGTTGCTGCTGGGCCTCGGTGGTCTGGGGGTGCTCCTCCTGCAGGAGAATGGAGGTGCCAAGCTGCCACGGCTGGCAGAGCTGTCCCTGGGACGCTGAGCGGAAAAGGAACATCTGGATCTGGTGACAGGAAGCTGGGCTTGGACCCCTCTGTGGGGAAGCACATGTCAGGTAGAGAAGCTGGTCACTATGAGGGAGGTGGGAGGAAAAGCAGCCCTGCCCCACCCCCTGCTGCTCCATCCTGCCGTCCTGCCATGACTGGGGCATGTATGCACACACATGTGCTCGGCGCATTTCTCACGCCAACAGGGTCGTCTGCCATGTGAGATCCAACTCCCGTAACCGGCAGGTCCTGGGCTGCACTGGAGTCCCCTGGCTAAACCCCAGGCTGGGTTTGCCTGCCTCCGTCCCAGGTCTCACAGCTCCATCAAGCTTTGGAGGTTGTTCCTCTGACTTCGAAACAGCAGGGGACAACTCTAGAAAACCCAGGAATGTACCCAATGGCACCCACATGCATGTCCTGGAAGAAAGCCCCCGGCATATCCGCGGCCTGCCGTGGACGAGAACGCCCTCTCTGACACTCAGCACGAAGCAAGCTTCCAGACCGGACGGCGGTGCCATCCCAGTTTCCACATTTACTATGGCCACTGGTCACTGGCACCTCCGATTTTGCCCCGCTGCTGGCGAAGCGCCCCCTGACCAGCATCCTCCAGTGCTCAGACTCCAGACCTGGCGGCAGCCAACGCCCCTGGCCCCCGTACTCACTGCCGGCGGCCACCGCAGAGACCCCTCACACCTGCAGCCTCAGAGCGGCGCCGTCAAGGTGGCTGGAGCAGGCAGGCCACAGCGGACCCGACTTGCATTTTGTTTTTTCTCACTTCACAAGGCGTTCTGGACATCACAGGACAGTCGGCAGAAACCACTGGCCGGCCTGGTACTGTGCCCATGCCCCTCCCTCCCTGGCAGTGATGTGCAGTGCCTTCAGGAGTAGCCTTGCGACTGCACAGTAGCATTGCCAGAGGTGTCGCTTCAGAGACCGTTCGGCAGGGGACAGACACTGCTGACTTGTCCTTCAGGGCTGGTTCCAATTCGCTTTCCTACCAGCGACTAGATGCCCTTGTCTCCTCACAGCCTCAATCGCAAGAATGTTGTTCAACTTTTGAAATTTTGTCTTTAAAGCCGTATGGGCTGGGCTGGCTAAGACAGCCATCCCACATGGCCTACAGGGGCTCGAATCTCAGCCCTGGCGGCTTGAAAAACACAGCAGGTGCGTGTGCACATGTGCCCCGAATCCCGGTCAGCATGCCCTTACAGGGACAGGTCAGGGCACCTGTGCCGGCTCTTGCTCTCGCTCCCGCTCCCTCCTTTGGGAGCTCCAAGCTAGGCCCCATCCACGACGTCAAGTGGGCTTCCCGTACCTTGACAGCAAATTCCGGCGTCCAGGACTGTGAGCAGACAGCTGCTGCCAAAGCCACCAGCCTGCCATGGCAGGTAGTGGTGTGGATGGAGGTCACCGTACCCTGCAATCATCGGGAGAAGCTTATTTCTCTCTCCCTCTCTCCCTCTTTTTTTATAAAGACTTTTTGCTAAAGGGTGTGTCTGCTCGCCAGAGAGACAGAGAGACAGGAAGTGAGAAATTCCTTCCAAGGGGGGATGGCCAGGCTACAATCCCTTCTTTTTCCTCCCTGGGATCTTGGGCACGCACGCACACACACCTGCTGTGAGTTTTAAGCCACCGGGTTCGGAACTCGAACTAGGTCAACTACGTGGGAGTCCAGCCATGTCACCATTATACCACCTGCTAGTCCCTGGAAGAGGCTTACTCCAAGCCACAGGTCGGGGACCACAGCTGGAGCGTCACCTGGGCTCCAAGTCACTCCTGCAGGCTCACAGTCGTCCACCAGGCTTCAAGGTAAGACACAAGCTGGGGAGAGACGGGATGGGATTATGCCATTTATTTGGGACAATTGTCCTCAGCTAGCAGGACAGTAGCAAGAATGATGTCAGGCCAAGTCTGGCCAGGTGACCGGCAGAGGTCCCACACGCAGCTCCGGTGCATCGGTGTCCAGACGAGGCTGTGGCTCCAGCAGATCCTCTGGTCACAGATCTTGCCGTGAGGCGTGTGCACCCTCGTGGCCTCCCAGCCGGGTCTCAAGATTGACTCAGGGACTTCCACAGTGGCGTGCCATAGCCCAGCGCGTCAGACCTGTGACGGCCGGAGGTGGCGTCTCCGTCTTGGCACCGTCTTGATTTGCATTGGTCCTATTGAAAGTGAGGCCCAGCATCTTTGCACAACCGCAGGGTTCAATTTGATGTTTGTCTTCCATTTCTGTATTGGCATCGTGGTTTTATTTTCTGTCCATTTTCTCTTATAGTTTTCCACTCACTGGAGAGAGAGGAGTGAAAAATCACTTCCCAGGGAGGGTGGACATGCCGCAATCCCTTCCCCTCCTTTCTCCTTTTGGGATTCTGGGCCTGTACACACACCTGCCCAGTCTAGTTTTGGTCTGGGACTCAAACCAAGCAGTCGGCCATGTGGGATCCAGCACCTTACCCACCGTGCCATCAGGCTGGCCCAATGCCCCATCTGTTTTCACTATGGTAAAATACACTTACAGTCCAGCACTGCAGCCATTCTAAAGAGTACCATTCAGTGGCACTTAGTACAAGTGTGAGGTTGTACAACCCTCACCAGATCTAGTTACAAAATACTTTCATCACCCAAGTAGGTAACCCTATTGTCATACATAGTCACCCCTCAAATCTCTCTTCACAGCTCCCAGCAGCCACTAATCTGCCCTCCGTCCACGGACCTGCCCGTGCCGGTGGTTTCACACATGTCAAACCAAGCGAACTCTGGCCTCTTGTGCCTGACCGCCTTCACTTAGCATCATGTCTGTTGGTTGGTCTGTACATGAGCATGTATCAGCATGCTCTTCCTGACAAGGCTGCCTGCACCACACACACGTGTGCACACCCATTGGTGCAGCTCTCCATCTGCTGCTGTGAAGAGCCCGGTTATGAGCATTTGGCTTCACTTGACCCCCTTCTTGGGCAGAGATCCATGAATAGAATTGGTGGGTTTGTGGTAATTCTGCAATTACCTTACCAAGGAACCCCCAGATTCACTGCAGAAACCACGACAAGTCACACTCCCATGGGCAGTGAAGGACCGTTCCCATCTCTCCACATCCTCCCCTACTTACTACTTCCTGGGGTATTCTCTTTCATTTTGTTTTGTGTCAAGAATGTATCTCTGGGGTGAGAGTTCTCTTGGGTTCTTGTCTTCATCACAGAAACCCAAAAACAACTTCAAATGCGAGTCAGACGGCACAGTGAAGCAAGTTTATTGAGCAGAGTGGGAAAATGTCCCCAGGCAGAGTAAACTGCTCAGGAGAAGGTGGCAGCCCAAGGGCCTCCGGTCAACCTCTAAGGGAGGAGGGCTCTCCATGCATATTCATGAGGGGGTGGGCTCCATCTCTTCTCATTCAAGGATGTCATCACTGGATTGAGGTCTACCCAGTCCCTCGGTTGACAACTTTCATGGACAGGGATACTTCTGTCCTATCATTTCTCATCTCTTGGTCAATCAGCTTCACCCACACAGTCTCCAACATCCACTTTCTCTGAGAGACTATCTACCTGAGAAGGTGACATAAGTGCAGTGGGCCAGGCCAGTCACCATAGCAACCTCTCCTTGGAAAATATCACAGAGACCAGGCAAGCTTCCTGTGGCCATGGGTGTAGGGAGCAGCCTGAATCTGAGCAAACATGGTGACCTTTAGACACATGTAGAAACATGGTTCTATGGGCAGTCATTTGCAAGGCAATGTACTCCATTAACATGTGAATACATTAGCTCTCTGTGTTTCCAAAACTGCAGAGCAATATCAGTTTAAAGGAAGTCACATATCTTAATCAGAATTGGCCCAAGAAGATTAAGGAAAACTTTCTTAGGACTACATGGGGCCAGGCATCTTCACATCTTCAGCAGATTAACATCTGAAAACAACTGCCCTTGCATTCTACTCTCCCTTCCCCCACTTTCTGCCCTTTAAAAGAGTAAACCTGGGAATGATTTGGGGCCATGGCTGCCTCCATCAGAGGAATCTGGACCATCTGACCCCTACTTTTCTTGTGTGTCTTTGTGTGTTTATGTTTATGTATATTCTCTAATCCACAGCCCCCCACCTTAGTCAGGCAAGCATTTGTTAGGCCATGAGGGACAGGGCACTTTGGCTTTCCTGGTGACCTTTAGACACATGTAGAAACATGGTTCTATGGGCAGTCATTTGCAAGGCAATGTACTCCATTAACATGTGAATACATTAGCTCTCTGTGTTTCCAAAACTGCAGAGCAATATCAGTTTAAAGGAAGTCACATATCTTAATCAGAATTGGCCCAAGAAGATTAAGGAAAACTTTCTTAGGACTACATGGGGCCAGGCATCTTCACATCTTCAGCAGATTAACATCTGAAAACAACTGCCCTTGCATTCTACTCTCCCTTCCCCCACTTTCTGCCCTTTAAAAGAGTAAACCTGGGAATGATTTGGGGCCATGGCTGCCTCCATCAGAGGAATCTGGACCATCTGACCCCTACTTTTCTTGTGTGTCTTTGTGTGTTTATGTTTATGTATATTCTCTAATCCACAGCCCCCCACCTTAGTCAGGCAAGCATTTGTTAGGCCATGAGGGACAGGGCACTTTGGCTTTCCTGAATTCATCCATGATGTTTTCTGGGTCCTCCCTTTCTCTTCTGCTAACACTAATTCAAGAGTCAGGCATCAGTTCCAGTCTCTAGGCCTCAGCATTGTGCAAAACACCAAACCCAGTCAGCCACTCTCTGGGTTTTTACATGATAATTATTATCATTATTATTACAGCCATCCTGAAGAGTGTGAAGGGCTATCTCTTTGTGGTTCTGATGATCATTTTCCAAATGACCAATGAAGTTGAGCATTTTCTCATGTTCTTGTTGGCCACTTGGATAGAGAAATGTCTACTCAAGTCCTTTGTGCATTTGTCTTCTTATTGAATTGTTGGAGTTCTTTATATATTCTTTGTGTTATGTATGATCCTTTCATATATATTCTCTCATTTGGTGGGTTGTCTTTTAATTTTCTGCATATTGCACTTGAATGCACAAAAGTTTTTAATTTGGAGGCCAGCCTGTGGCCTGGAGGTTAAGACAGCTGAATTCTAGATGACCAACAGTGCAGTCCAAGTCTCAGACCTGGTGACTTGAAAAACATGCCAGGTACATGTGTGTGCATGCCCAAAATCCTGAGAGGAGAATGAAGGAGAAGGGAATGCAGCACAGTCATCCCCCTTGGGTGATTTCTCACTTTCCCTTTCTCTCTCTGTCTCTCTCTGGTCATTGCCTTACAACAATTTATTTTTAAGTTTCCAATTTTTATGAAGTCTAGTTTATTGTTTTATTGATGCTGTTGCCCATGCCTTGGTGGCATAGGTAAGAGATCATTGTCAGAGCCAAGGCTATGGAGATTCACCACTATGCTTTCTTCTAAAAGTTTTAGAATGTTAGCTTGTATTTATGTCTCATATCCACTTTTAGCTAATGTTTCTATTTAATGTGTGTGAAGTAAGGACCCAACTTCATTTTTTTCACTGTGGATATCTGGCTACCCCAGCATCATTTGTTAGAAACAACTTTTCTTCCCCCATTTCACCTGACATTCTTGTGAAAAATCAATTGACCGTACATGTGAGGGCTTATTTCTGGTTCTCTGTTCTACTCATTGGTCTCCCCTTATGTTATAACCACACCATTTTGATTATTGTAGAATTGTACTAAATTTTTCAACAGAAAATGTGAGTACTCCAACTATTTTTTGTTTGTTTGTTTGTTTTCTCACTGGAGAGACAGACAGACAAAGTGAGAAATCATTCCCCAGGGTGACTGGCCATATAGGCAACCCCTATTCCTCCATTCTCCTCTTGGGATTTTAGTCTCACACACACATGCCTGGTGTGAATTTTAAGCTGCCAGATCAAGACTTGAACTATAGTTGACTACATGGGATTCCGGTGACGCAACCATTATTCCATCTACTTGTCCCCAACTGTTCTTTTTCAAGATTCTCTTGGTTAGTCTAGGTCCCTTGAAATTCCATACAAATTTCAGGAGAATCTTGTCCAGTTCTTAAAAAAGACAGAAAAAAAAGAAAAAAAATTAAAACTGGTGGTATTTGATACAGATTACACCAAATCTTTAGAGCACTTTGGAGAATGTTGTCATTTTTAATATTAAATCTTCCAATTCATGAACATAGGATATCTTCCCACTTATTTAGGTCTTCCTTGATTTATTTCAGCAATGTAGTTTTTAGTTTACAAATCTTGCACCTATTTGGTTAAATTTATTCTTAAGTATTTGATCGTTTTTGCTAGTGTAGATGGAATTGGGTTTTTTTTAACTTCCTTTTTGGATCGTTCATTCCTGAGGTATATAAAAATGCCACTCTTGAGCCACCTGTGGCCTGGTGGTTAAGGTGGCTTAATCCCACATGGCCAACCATGCAATTCAAGTCCCAGACCCTGTAGCCTGAGAAACATGCCAGGCACATGTGCATGCATTTCCAAAATCTCAAAAGAAGGGAGAGATAGAAAAGGAGATTGTGGCATGATCATGCACAAGGTGGAGTGCTGTTTTACTTTCCTTCCCTCTCTCTGTCTCTCTCTGGTGAGTGCATGCTCCCTCTGGCAATTTTTTTTATGACATTGATACATGTTGATCTTGTATTGTGCAACTTTGCTGACTTTTCCCCATAGTTCTGACAGTTGTGTGTGTGTGTGTGTGTGTGTGTGTGTAGCTTTCTAGATTTTCTATGTATAAGGTCATGTGATTTGCAAATAAAGATCATTTTACTTCTTCCTTTCCAAACTGAATGCCCTCTTTTTTTTCTTTATTGAATTGCATCAGCTATAACTTCCAGAAAATGTTGAATAGAACTGGAGATGCTTGCTATCCTTGTCTTGTTTCTCATCTTAGGGGGAAAGTGTCCAGTCTTCACTATTGATTATGATTTTAATAAGTATGATACTTTTTTTATTACTGGTAATGTCCTTTATCATGCTGAGGAAGTTTCCTTCTAGGCCTAGTTTGTCGAGCATTTTTATCATGAAAGGGTGTTGGATTGCAGCAAATGCTTTCTTGCTACCTTGCAATCCTTCTGCCTCAGCCTTGCAAGTAGCCAGAACTACAGGTGCATGCTACTACGGGCTGAGTCTGGATGACAGCTGAAGACTCATGTGACTTCTT